GACGCTTCCACCTCCTGATGCATTTCTTCTGCTTTGTTTTTCTTTAGTAATTAAATAACATTTATTAATGACTTACAAAGGTTCAAAATCCAAATATTCATAATTGAAGGGCAATTATTTATATGTGCTGCCTTTACATTACATTTGTGCTGCCATTTCTGAGCATGTACCTGAATAGCAAATGTACATTTGAGCAGCTGTGCTTTTAATTACTGGCTGACAGCCCTGCACCGATAATCAAAAGTGACACATTGTGCTCAGCTCGCATCCTTCTACTAATGGTTGCACAGCCTTAATTATTACAGCAGCAGAAATAATACCCGCTGGAAAGCTACTTGGAAAAGCTGGCATTGATCAAATAGTGAGCTTTTAAGATCTTGTGTATCTGGTGCGAGATTCCTTCCTCCTGCAAATAGCCAAGGTAGCGGGAAGCCAGGAGAAAAACGTGGGAAGGGAGCCCAGCATTTCCAAGACACCAGGGCTGCAGAGGGGCTGCTGCAGGCTGGGACAGTGTGCACATCCTCACTGCCCGTGTTGAGTCTGCTGGGTTTGGGTACCATTGCTCGCCTCCTCCTCTGCCCTGTGATTGCTTCTCAGTCCTGTCTGTGTGGATTTGGCACCAGGGCTTGCCGGGCTGTCATTGCTCCCAGCACCACTGCCGAGATGTGGGAGGAGTGGATCTGTTTGGAGATGGGTTGACACCAGCTTTCTTCAGGGATTGTAATGGGTATAACAAGGGATGTGAATGCCAGCTGAGCTGGAAGGAAATCGTTCACTTGCATCTGTAGACTGTGAAAAGAAGTCAGCGGTGGTTTGTGTCTGTCACCATTTCGGAGACAGTTCCTTGGGCCACTGAGCTGCCAGACACTTGGTTGCTCTTGCAGTTCTTCCTTAGGTTGCCCTCACTGTCCTTTTGGCTACAGAGCAACATTAGCACAAGTATTACAGGGAAGGGCAGAGATTTGTGCCTCCAAAGGTCAAGTGCAGCACTGGCAGACCCCACTGCCCTGGGGCAGAGCCACTTTCTCTTCCCAGCCCACAGCAACAAGCAGCCAACTCACAGCATGGCAGGATCACTGGCACTGACTCAAACGTGGCCCAAACTGCCCTAGGAAATCCTGTCCAGACATTCGCTATGCAGGCAAAAAAAGTATTGCCAGAAGGCAAAAGGTTTTTGAGACACAGTATGTGAATACCTGGGGGACATAGTCAAAATACAAGTTCATTTTCCAGCCATCCTCACTAACTCATGTGCAGTATCTCCAGGCATGTCTGTGTTCAGCAGCGGTGGCCGGGGTGCCAGGCAGGAGCACCCAGGGGACTTTCCACGTGCAAAGGGATGCTCTGGCAAGTGCCAGAGGCAGAGAGGTCCTGAAGATCCAGAGAGATCGGGAGAGAGCAGTGATGACAGCAAGGTTTTATGTTAACTGAAGGTCGCTCTTGTGGAGATACCTGAGAGAATTTATGATGGCATGAACCTGGGTGTATGCTTTACCTATTGGAGGTAGATGGGAGGCTACATCCCAAAGGATTTTTCTATTAAACACTCAGATACCCCTCTGGGCTCTTGGATCAAGTAAGACTGTCAAGATTGTTGCTTCCCCTATATCCAAAATGAGATTTCCCTTCCCCTTGACCCTCTCATACCGACTCGGAGTGAGGCAAAGTAAAACCCAATCTTCGAAAAAATAATCTTATGTGTTTATCACAGCATTTCTATAAATTATAGTGCTGTGATTTTTGAAGTCTAACATTTAGAAAAATTTATGATGGTTAGGGAAGCTATAACCACAGCTCACTGCAAACCCGGATTCCCTGCTTTCCGTGAGATATTGTAAGTTCTGCGAGTCCAGATGGCAAAGTTTAAATCTGTCACCAATCTGGGATGAAATATTGCTGAAGCTCAGAGCAGTGTAGTTCTCTGGCCCATATTTTAGCATACCCATATTAGTGGGAGGAAGCAAACATCTCTCATTTGCTCTCTCTTCATCTACATGGCAGCCTGGAAGTCTGAAATATTGGTCATTTCAACAGAAATGGATTAGTGGTCAAGGCACGGACGAAGAGTAAATTAAATGCTCTTTATTGCAAGATGTATGGAATGAATTGATTTGCATTACGGCTACCAGCACCACCTAAATAGTATACGTGCAGCTAAATAGTAAGCATGGGTAATGCAAAGAGAGTCCACTTCCCCTCAACTGGCATCCCCTGTGAATCCAGAGGGCCAGGTTCTGGTGAAGGGCCAAGCTGGCCCAAGGTGGGAGGAAAAATTGCCTGGTGAAAGCTGCAAAGAACTCAGCTGAGAGACTCGGGGAAGGTCTCAACAGATGCCTTGGGGGTGGTGGGAGGGTTCCTGAAGCTCTGGTGGGTTTGCCTATGCCAGAAGAGCGTTGCCAGCACTGAGGTTTGCCATTTTGTAGCACACTGGTGTTGGACTGCATGGCTGAGTCTGAATCATAGGTTTTTTTAATTTCTCTTCATCCCTCTCACTTTTTTTTTTTCTCTTCGTAGAAAAACCTACAGTTCTCTTATGATTTCCTTTTTTATTACACTCATCTATAACTCTGATACTGATTTTAGTCTTTTCTTTCCAACATCACACCTTGTAAATCCTGACTCAGTGCCCCAGTCTCCATACCATAAAAACAATGAGAATTTATAAATAAAACACATTCTGGGATCTTGTTATTTCTTTTTGGGTTCTTGAAACCTGCAGGGTACTCTCCAAATACCTTTTCAAGTTTTCCCTTCTGCAACCTCAGGAGCAAGAACTTAATGAGTTTCTCCCATTTTCCCATGATTCCAGACTCTGGGGCTTAAATGAAAATCTTCACTTCTTGTGAAAATCTTGATAAAGTCTCTAGAGCTGGCAACAGTGGCATTGAAGGCTCACTCTGACATCTGTAACACCCTGCATCTCCCACAGACCTACTCCATGTCACACTTGTCCCTCCCATTCCCTTGACCCTTGGTCACTGCTCCACAGCACAGGCTCCCTTGGGGATTCCCCTGGCCACCTCCTTGGTCCACCTCCCTCTGTTGCCCCAAGGGCTTCCCACTTTCTTCCCTTCTTCTCTCCCTTTCCCTGTCATTCTTCTCTTGTCTTTTCTCCAGTGTCTTACCCTAAATAATACCTGTTCCCCCCCAACACCCAACATATGCCACTGTGCCCCACTCCTACTCCCCAGCTGGAGGAGTTGAGGCTGGAGGGGAGTGCTCCTCTTGTTACACCTCTTGGAAGACCTTTGATGTGGTTAAGGCAGGTAATACCTGCTTTTCTCCAATGATTTCCAGGTCCAACACCATTCACAGGTTGGACCATGCCCAGGCAGAGTCCCACAATGCCATCCATGGGTGTTGGCCAACCCTGGGTCTGCTGCTGACACCTTTTGCTGGCTCTCCTCCCTGCAGCCTACCACTGAGGGGCACTGCAAAGGCCAAGAAGCCCACAGGAGGAGAAGATCTGAACGTGCAGCAGCGGCCCAGGGGTGCCTGGGTAGGGGCCAGAGAGCTCAGGGCAGCAGCCCGGGGAGTGTACCTACCTGTACAACGCGGAGGCTGCTCTCTTCAGCCCTTTAGGTCTGTTGGGTTTAGGTTCCCCGGCCATGTTGATATCTGCAATGAACGGACATGCAGCTATGACACAGCACGTCCACACTCACTGGGAGCCGTATCCAATGACGGAGAAAGGGAGGCTGTGCACAGCCTTGCCATCAGCAGAAACAAACTCCTCCACACCTCCCACCACATTTCCACCTGCTTTTAGCATGTCTGGGGCCCTGCTGGACCTCCACAAGAAGGCAAATACATTCTTGCACTTGGCAACCCTCTTCCTTTTCCTTTACAAAGCTACTAACCATTTACTTTTGAAGTCAACGCCCTGCACATGGTCTAACCCACACACACAAATTCAGGACAGGCTTCTCAGGAGAACTTGGTGCTGTAATGATAAGGCATGGACAATATATAAAACCACTGCACACTGCTAACTGCTAACAATTTATCCCTTGCTCCTTCTAGAGTAAACACGAATGCTAAGCACGAGCCAGCCAGGCATCACTGTGGACTGGGCTGCGCTACAAGCTGCACGGGGTGAAGGCACATGCCTGCAGCCACCCCAGCTGATCTTGGAGGAGCATCTTCTACCAGGGGAGGCGAGAATGAGCTCTTCTAATCCGCTGAGGAAATTTCTCTCCTTGGACTCAGTGCCAAACGTGCTTTTGACATGAGAATAGTGATACAGCCAATTTCATGGAGGCTGCCGAGAGCCTGGCAATCTAACACAGAGTGTGGCTGCAGAACCGCAGAGAGATGAGCTGTTGGGAGTACGAGGTCTCACCCCTTCTTCGTTTCTTGTCCCAGGAGTGAGCAAATTCCCTGCTGGCTTCTCCAATCAGCCCTAAACTTTTTCTGTTCTTCAGGTCCTTTCTGTCTAAATAGATGTCAGACGTCTGGGCATGCCAGATCTGAGCCAAGCAAGACAGGATTTCCTTACAGAGACCAAAAGCATCGTTTGCACTGGGCTGGACAGGGGCTTTCGCCAACATTGGGGCAGGTCCTTGTGCTAAGCTGGTGGCACGAGTTACAGCCTCTGAGGTGCAGGTGGATTTGAAGGTCTCCGTCTGGGGCGCAGGGTTTGTGGATCTGTGACTGCCAGCTGGGGTATTTAAGTTCTCACCTCTTCAGGGCTTGCAGGATATGCCATGAAACTCAGCAGGTTTAAGCTTACTAATCGTTGCTTTTCTCATGCTGCATGAAGAGGCTTCATGGAGAAATGTGGACAGGCTGGCCCACTCACCATCAAAATAAAGAGCTTGCAAAGTGATCCAAGTGAACAGGGTGCTGACTTCATTATTAACCAAGAAAATCATCTTCAGGAGCACAAGGAAGCTGCAGCACTGCTGAAACAACCTGAGCAGGAGGAGTACAGGCTGCACACGTGGGACACGGCTCCGGAGGAGCGCAGACATGCTCCCACTGCCCAAATGTCCTGCTGTGCAACTCCTCGGACTGCCTTTTAGGGTCTAGCAAGAGACATCATTCCTACTGAAGCTGGAGCTTAGCCTGTTTATAAACTTGCATAACGAGTGTGGTATTAGGGTGTCGCTCAGCCACTACATTGAATGTTCCTCTGGAGGCACATTCAGATCAGAGCATGTGTTTTCTTTGGTACCTTTCACCCTCCATCCTTCCATCCTCAACTGCTAAGGGGAATGCAGAAGACTGGCGAGCCTGAACGCTAGCAAGGATGCACACAGCCATAGGACAGGTCGGTGGACAACTGCTGCCAGCGTGAACATTATGCATGCAGTTGCCTTTCTGAGTCTGTTGAGCAATGCAACGCTTCTGGCAATGCTGTTTGCTGCAGAGAGGAATAAATGCTTCCTTGGTGCGTCCCAGAACACATCCCTGCTCAGCTCCAGTTCCCTTGTCGTGAACCCTTTTTGCTGTCAGGGTGCATCTTGCCAGCTGCCAGTCACTTTTCTTGAAAAACGAAGAGTTAATGACAGCACCATGCTGATTAACACCCTTCAAGGTAGACGCAATGAAAGCCCAATGGTGGATAATGACAACAATTAGCTCAATTTGCTGGCATGCGCTGCTAGAAATAGCACTGGGGAGCCTTTATCAGGGCACGTACACAGATCAGGAAATTTATACTTTCAACCTATAGTGGTGAGGAGCAGTCAGATCCCTCAGGATTCCCTTGGTAGTGAACAAGGAGAGACAAGAGCTCAGCATGCACATCAGCCTGGACAGATTTTGCATCTCGTTCCCATTCTGGCTCCCTCCTCTGCATTGCTGCATCCATCTGCCCACCCCATGGCAGTATCTATCCCTCCTGCTTATATTCAGGCATCTTTGCCCGCACTAAATGGGGAGGTGGTGCTTTGTCTAGCCAACATGGTAGGGTCAGGTTATGGTGTGGATCCAGATTCCAGTGCAGAGATTCCCTCACTGGAATGGCAACTGCCTCCTGCAATGACTGGGGTGCCTGCGAGCCTCTGGAGAAAGCACAGAGGTTGCCAGGACCTGCCTGGCAGAGCAGTCCATGTCCCAGCACATGATGGGCTACAGCCATGGTTTCAAACACTTCTGTTTTGTGATGCGTTCAGTATCTTGCTGATCAATTAAAATGCAAGTTGGATTGTTTGCTTATCACAGAGTCATAGAATCATACAATCATTAAGGCTGGAAAAGACCCTTAAGATCATCAAGTCCAACCATTAACCTATCACTGCCAAGTCCACCACTAAACCATGTCCTCAAGCACCACATCTACCCGTCTTTTAGACACCTCCAGGGATGAGTGACCTCCATATCTGATGACAATACGATCACCTCCTTATCTGGTGACAAAGGAAGAAGAAGGAAAAAGAAAAAATGGAAGAAATGCTATTAGACCATTTAGCTTGAGAGCTGACCTTAGCTGGGAGATGCGAACTAGAAAGATGCTGCTGCTTTGCTCATTCATTCTGGTATGTGCTGGAAAATGTTACCTGCAAATCATCACTGGCACTCGGGAGCAGATGGAGGGCTGAACCCTCCTGCCACCACCAGTGCATGTAACTGTCCCATGGCAGCACAGCCAGCTGTGCTCCTGGAGGGGCAAGTACCACCGAGAGCTGGAGTCATTGACTTAAGGGTTTCTGCAAGGACCAGCTTTTCTATGATCTATTAGAAGGATTTGCAAAAGCCTTGATGGATGCTGGGGGAGATATGAGATCCTTAGACTACAAGCCCACTCAGACAAGTCAGGCACAGCACATGCGAAACTATGATGCTTTCCCACAACATTTCTTAAACGTTGGTGCAAATTCTCTTTCCCATCTGAACAGCTAAGGCAGGAAAGACAGTTTCACTCGAACTGTGCCATACAGGGCTGCTACAACTGAGTCATTACAGCAAGTGCTTGCAGGAGTGGCTCTGGATTTGGTGGGGATGCTGTCCTGCTGAGTGACCACCTGCTGGCACTGAGGACAGGTGGCCTTGCACTATCAACAAGCTGCTGCCCCTGAGCAGGTTGGGGGTACTTTGCCTCTACACCAGGCACTACCTTGAGCCATGCTGCCCCACCGTGCAGGCAGTGATCGCCCATGAACTCCTGCCATGCCAAACGCGGCCATTTGCCTGGCAGTCACGGTTTGCAGCTCTTCCACAGAATCGCATGGCTGCACCTTGCTGAAGTTACTGGCTGGAGCTGCCAGGGCAGAAAGCAGCCTACCTTCCTGCTGCCCACCTAGGGAGGGAAGCTTTATCATCACCTCAAAGGACCCCCCCAAACCCTGCCCATGAACAGAAGCAGGGACAGTCTCTTCAGCAATGTGTTGGCCATGTCCCTTGCCTGTCCCATCCTGTCCTTCCTCTCCACATTCCTCTTTTTTAGGAGGGGACTTTCTACCTCGTTGTGTACAAAGACATTTTCTAACCACATTGTTCAGCTCTTCTTCTCTGCTGGATTGTCCTCAAAGGGGAGCATCCCCGTGTTTATACTGGGCCATGAACAGCAAAGGAAAGCCTGCTGAGCCCTTGTGTGGTAAGATTGGCCCATGAAGGGAAGGCAGATGAAAGGGAGCTGAATTTGCACCTCATCCAGTACATGTATAGGACTCCCAGTTATAATACAATCCTTTTGTCTTGTTGGCATGCCAGACCTCTGAGATCAGCACTGAGAGGAGAGTAAGATGTTCCTATCATGGTAAACCTTTCATCTCTCTTTTCAGCTAAGTGGGCAAGTGTTGCCTGTCTCTTAGCTGCATCTCCTGTATCTGTCTGGAGCATCACAACGAGCTCCCTTGCTCCCCAAGGCCCTCTCTGTCATATCTACAGACTCTGCACACGTCCTGGGCTGGAAGCATCCCTGGCACACTGCGCTTCGCCTCGGTCTGCAGCTTCGCTCTCTGGACCGTAAGAGAAGTGAAAAGAAGTTTCTGGTATTTGAATAAACCATGGATGGAAACAGCACACTGTCTTAAAGATCAGATCTAACATGAAACTTTTTATTTATTTCAGACTGCTGTGCCAGAAGCAGGGTGGGAATGGGCTGCAAATCGCTTTCCTGGGTACCCAATGACCACTGCCTGCAGCAGGCTTGGAAATAACAATGTTTCATTAAAAATACTGTTGCCAGTTCCAATTCTCAACTTAGAGCTGGTGACAAGAGCTTCTCAGCATGTGACACTTCAGAGCAATCTGCAAAATAAGGATGCAGCTGGGAGCAGCTGGGGTGGTTTCGTTTGTTATTTCTTATCACACAGCAGTGCAGATGAGAGACTTTCATGTGTCTGGGGGGAAGTTATCTATCTCATTTAACATCAGCTGGCTCAAGTTAGTCTGAGCTAGTCTGAGTTAGACTATCACCTCTCGACAGGCAAAGGATAAGGCTTGGTCCAGAAAAGGAACCAGGCAATGTCTTTTCCCACCCTTGTTCTTCCCCACCAGATCAAGGACAAGGACACGGGATGATTCAGAACTGTGTTTTAGCTTCTACAATCGCAGCCGGTAACATGAGGTTTTTGGGCCACAGTGTCACAGCCCTGAGGGTGCTAATATGCCTGAAGGACCATGACAAGCCTGCCTTCTGTCCCCTACCCACACAGGACCCGGGAGCCCTCAGCCCCTACCTGAGCTGTGTTGTAGTAGTGCTGGTCTCCAGCTCTGTCACAGCCGTGCCTGTGCCTGGCCATGGACCCTGCCGATCCTGACCCACTGGCTGACTTCCCAGCCTGGCCCCACACCTGCCTTGTCACTGCCTCGACCTGCTTGGTCATCACTGGGTTGTCTGACCTGCTCACCATCATTGGACTTGACCCTGACCTGCAGACTGATGTCCCAGTTTGACCTTGGACTGGCCATCTCTTGACCATCCCCTAGGGAGCAACCAACCCATGTTGCACCCGGACACCTAAAATGGCTTAAGAAAAGACTTACCAAGCGTCTGGCCTGCAAGCACACGCCCGTTCTCACCCAGGACAGCAGCACGTGCGTGCCTCTCGTTGGAGTACTGTACGAAGGCATAGCCCTTGTGAACGGAGCAGCCCACCACTCGGCCATACTTGGAGAAAATGGTCTCCACATCTGACTTCTTGACCACGGCTGTGTTGAGATTGCCAATGAAGACTCTGGAGTTGATGGACTTGGGGTCATTCTTGTTCGTGATGTTGCTTGTCTGCACCTTCAATGACATCTTGAACACCTGAATGAACAAATTGGGAGTCAGGAAGGTATGCAAGGGAATTGCTGGAGTCTTATAAAAAGGGGCAGGGGATAAATCTCCCAGCAAGCCTGGAGCAAGGGAACCAGCTCCTCAACTTCAACTAGTCATAACTGGGGGGAATCCTGTCTCCAGAGAGCCCCTGTGTGTTGGGGAGGGGTGATGTCGCAGCCAGCGCAAAACTTTTGCTGGAAACCTATATATATCAGGCTGAGACTCTGGGTGCAAGCTGGTTGCTTTTGGGGGACAAAACAAGATGTAAATAAATTTTACATCTAAGTAAAAGCTTTAATGCTATTATAGGAAAGCTTTTACCACTCTATACTTAATTACACTTCAAAGGACTGCTCTTTTTAAAGCAGTTCGCATTCAGCTCCTTTGTTCATGCCCTCCTCTCTGGGCTTTCCCCCGCTGAGCACCTCCCAGCACAGGCCAGCTCTCACCATGCACAGGGACAGCCTCGTCCCCACAGATTCACACTTGCAGCTGGAAGAGGACTTGAGTTTTCTGGATGCAAATGGAAAGATTTAAGTGGTGGAGCAGCCCATGTGCTCCCATCTGCACTCTGCTGCCTGCCTGCACATTTACACGTTGGGCTTTGAGCTGAATTTTGTGCAAACAGGAGGTGTCACTGTTAGCTTGGGAATCACTAAGCCATCAGCCAGATCAGCTAGAAGCCATTCCAACCTGCTTCCCATAGCTGCAAGGCATGACCCCTGGGTTTCTTGCCTAGAGTATTTAACGGGCAGCCCCTGAGAACAGGCTTCACCTCTGAGGACAAAGAGAAGCCAGGGACAGGGCTGGAAATTGTGTGAAATTAAAGCTAATCTGGCTGCCTATTACACTGCCTGCTCACATTTCTGCAGCAAAAATTACAGCTGGCCAAAGATATGTTTGATTTTCATCTTCCAGAAACAAAGTGGATGCTTTGGGATCGCTACTGTGTGCCGCATACATAGTGTGTGGTATTTACCTGGGAGAAGTCAGCTCAGAGCAGTGGAAGGCATTTTATGATGCACATTGCAGTGCTGCTCTTCCCCAGCCCCTTCCAGCAGCGCTGGCAGGTACTCCCAGCTCCCGGGGCAATGCCACCACGGTGTCCATGACCCGAGGCAATCACTGAGCCTATAGCACAGGGGACACGCTGCTACCACAGGGCCATGGTGTCCCCTCCCTGATAGTCCCCAGTGTCTGCCTTGGCACTGGGCAGAGCTAAAGCACTGCCTGGCTTTGGGGCTTCGGCTCTCTTGGCTCAAAGCCCAAGTTTGTCTGAGTAGCTTGGTCCGAGGTGGGCATGGTGGCAGCTGCCCGATTGCATGGAGGCAGCTCCTGTGGAACTGGTCTGCCTGGTCCCCAAGCCCTGACAGGCTCCACTTGCCCACAGCCCAGCCTGCCTGAGGCACTGACACCAGCAGTGTGCAATACTCTGGCTTTGCCGAGCCCTAAAACACAGTTAGTCTTTCCTACACTCCTCACCAGACAGGCAGGGGCCTGGGAAAAAGCTGCAACATTTCCTGATGTGCTTTTTAGGGTTTCACCCAAGACTTGCAAAGAACCTAAGTCCTCCTTCTTCCCTGTCTTCTGCACAGAGCTTCCACACAGGACATGAAATCTCTGGTTGCTCCTATCTCCCCCTAAACGTATTAGGGGGGAATAACTTCATCATACCTATCTCATCCCTTTGCCAGGTGAGCCCCATTTTGGCTTCTTGGGTGACGGATGTCCTTCTGATGGAGCCTGCTCAGCTACTGGCCTCTCAGGACACCCGGGGGGGGGCTGCTTCTGCCCATAGTCCTATTTTTGCCTGAGGGTACTTCTACCCACACAGACAAGCGTTAGGGCTCGCTGCCGCTAGCTCTGTATCTCCAGGATCTGAAACTTCAGTCCAGCATGGAGTAAAGAGACAAGAGAGGAGACTTGCCCAGCCCTGCCCACAGATGGTGCTTGCAGCCCAACCCAGGAAGACATGGAGCATTTGAACACCGACTGCAATCAATGAGCTCTGAACAGACAAGCTATGATGTCCAGACCTCCGCCTTTTTAATTTTCAAAGCACAAAGGACTGGACACTCAATTCCTTTCATCATTTAAAGGCAGACCATACAGAGCGTTGGAGATACCCGGCAAGGCTGATCGTCTGCGTGGAGCAGGGGGAGGATGCAACGGCACAATAAATCTCGTCTGGCTCTAACCCCTGTGACTCTATTAACCTACCATTGAGGTTGGAAATGATCTCCCTGCTAAATCCAATCAAAAAAAAGTTAGACTTTGTCTGAGTCTGGCTTGTTATATTTTCCCTTTCACCCCTACTGATTAAAAGAGATGAGACTTTTGGTTTATTTTTTTAAAAACAATTCCTGACAGCACAGTCTTCCTAAAAAACACTGGAAAAAAGTAACCAAAGGACAGGACTTTTAAAGGCATCTAAGTGAATTAAATCCTCACATCTTTGGCAAGGGGTGCCCAACCTCTTCAGGTTGCTCAAAGTTTCAACTTATATAATAACATTTGCTTAATACTATCTATTTTAACACATTTTTGCAGTGCAGTCTGGAAGAGGTTCACAGAGGAAGCTGTCCCCATTCCTGGTGCAGAGATGGAGAAACAGAGGAAGAGCCAAGGCTGTTTCCAGCCATTCGGTCACTTTGGGTACCCAGCTTGAGCCTCAAGGACTCAATTCTCAGAAATCCCGAGTACCTGCACAAAGCCCGGCTAGAGGCTGTTCCAGGATGGCCAGTCCCCAGGAAATCTCCATCTTAAACCCCCCCCCCAGGACCACTTAAGGCTGTGCAGGACCTTCAGAGAGCCTACATGTTCAGGGTACCTGTATCCAGGTAGCTCTGGATGGTCTTGGTACCCAAGGACACATCCGACCCTTTGTGAACCCACGGCTCTCCCTGCCCTGGGGTCTCAGTGATGTTGCAGGACAGTGACTTCAACATGTGCCTTTACTCTTGGTGACTCCTGGAGTTTCCGGTTCCTGATGCCTGTATTTTCTATTTTAGAGTAAATCTGCCCTGGCACCTCTCTTGCCCACACTGGCCCATGTCACAGGGACATCTTTGGCCCCACTTAGCTGCTTCCCCTCTAGACGATGCACTCCCATCCTTGCTCATCTGCCAGAGTTTACGTAAGTCTCCAATCAATTTGCTACCCACCCATGGCCCTCCTTTCCCCCATTCCCAGTCCCCAGAGGAACTCCTTTTGCAATTGGCCTCCAGGCAGATTATGAGCCCTTATCACTGCCCTGGAGCCCCACCATCCAGCTTGCACTGCTCTTGGAGGCCACCCATCCAGACTGCTGTGTCCCAACCTGGATGCCAGGATGCTGTGGGAGATCACATCAAAAGCCTTCCTGAAGTCAAGGCAGACACCACCCATGTCATCTCCTCGGCCACACACTTTGCCACAGAAAGCGAGTAGGTTGGTCAAATTTGGCCATACCATTTCCAGGTCTGGCCCGGCCACAGGCAAGCAGGAGGAATGCTCTCTTCCTCGAAGTAAAATATAGTGCTCAAATAAAATATACCCCTGTCTCTCTTTTCCCACCCCATCTCTGAAGAGTTTTACTGCTGCTACCCCAAGCCACAGCTTAGGGAAACCCTAGGCTGCTGTTTGCCCAAACCTTCCCCAATTCTAATGAGCCCAGATGTGTGTTATTTACAAAAGTCTGAATCTCTGACCAGCTGTTTGCAGCTACAAACACCAATTACACCAGGGCGCTGAGCTCCTTAAGCCTCTGTGGTGTTAAGGAGGGATGTGGGTTAAGCTGCCTCCGTGCATGGGAATAGAAAGGGCTGGCTGGAGGATTCAGGCAGGATGGGGGTGCGTGGGGACATAAAACATGTTTCTTCTTCCCCCAAATCTAGTGGGCTGCCCTCTCTCAGCGGGTGCAACATGAGCCAGCTCTGCTGCTGTCAATGGATCCTCCACCCCGTGGGTTTGTTTTAAAAATAAAAGAGCTGGATGAAGACAATGCATTTCTCAGGTGGGCACTAAGGCACCAGATGGATTTTCACTTGGAGAAGGACATCTTCCACAGCATCTCCCAAGGTATGAGCTTGGCCACCATCGAGGTGGGGGGGTGTAGGGGAACCTGCGCCTCTCCCAGGTCCCTGCTCCCCCAACCCCACCTTGCACCCTCCTTGTCTGTCTCCTGTGACCTTCCCCCACGCTTCTTGCAGTTGGACCAGCATGTGCTTCTCCCCTGCGCTGTCTCCCCTCCTCCTCAACTGGGATGCTGGGTCCCCCCAACCTGATAAAGCCTGTGGCTGTAGGAGCTGGAGATGGGAGAGCTCACTTTCACCACCCATTGCGGGGACCGGTGACGGGGCGGGTAGCTCAGCATAACTGCTCCCTCGGTAGAGCCTTTCCCTTGGCTCCCTGGTGGAAGCTCCAGCAGCTCTGTGCATCGAGGCCATCTCAGGACACTGCAGGTCTGTGCAGGAGATGTGCCTGTGGCTGATAAGTGATGGGATGGGGCCACCAGATGGCAAACTCAAGGTCAGGGAAGGTGACGGTCACGCTGCTGGGAAAGACTTGGGAGGAAGCCAACGAGGACCCGACATCTCTGCGGATGGGATGCTCTCGAGTGCCATCTGCCACTGACTGCTACCCCTGCCCAGGCAGGGAGCAGGGCTTTGGCAGGGAGTGTTGTCCAAGGCTGGGGAGCTGAAACTCTGGGCTTCTAGCACGGCATCATGCTGAGATTTCAGGCACCATCAATGACCATTTAACAAGTGGCCTGCACGGCTCTCATTTAGCAGCTTACAAAACAGTCAGCACTGGGTGGTCAAAAACCCTGTGCAAAGTGCTCTTCTGCTGTCCCCCCACAAGCCCCGCATCCCCTGCAGAAAACAGCCTCCCTTGCCTTCTCTGTCCCATTCATTTCGGGTTTCTTCTTACAAACAATATTCATTTCACATCACTTATTAGCCCCCTTACTGCAACAACTGGAAAGGACATTTTACTGATCGCATATTAATATTTCATACTCCACCTAACTGCCTTCCATCAGAGCACTTTGTGTTGTGCTCAGATTAAATCCAGCGCAGCATCAGCCACATCTGCTTAGTGTCCCTTCCACGTGAAACAAAACAGCTCGGCACAGCAGCGCTACGAAGTACAATGTCTCTCTCCTCAAGCCGCTGCCTCTTTGATACACCATGTAGAAACCAGCGGGCATGAGTCAGAGCAGAGTGTCTTGGTGATATGTCTGATTAGAAAAATATACACAGCAGAGACACATATCACTGGTTATAGATTAATAGCCTAATAACTATACTGTCTTCAGCAGATGCATTTTCACAGCTATTATTTTGCCTTTCATCCCCCAACCCAGAACTGCAACAAGACAGACTTGAGTTGGAAAAGAGAACAAGACAAAATGCAACTAGTAATACTTGGACATAGATAAACGAATGTATAAACGGGTCCTTCATCTGTAGGACCTCAAAGAACGTCCAGGACAGATTAGTATGATTATCCCTGCAAGGGAAACTGAGGCCCAGATGGGAGAGGTCTGGGGGTTTATGCCACCAACCTCATGAAAGCTTACAGAAATGTCATAATGACACCTTCCGTTCCCAATCGCTCAAAAAAGACAGATGGACTTAAGGATGAGATTGCCAGAAGTTCCTTCCCTCCCATGTGTCCCGTGTCCCTCTGTATGGGGCAGGTGCCTGTACTAGTGGCACCCTGCGAGCTCTGCAGGGGACAGCAGTCGAGCCACACCACGGTGACCCCAGAAACATGTCCGTCTGCACCCAGGCTCTGCCGCCACAGGGCTGTCTGACCATCCTTTGACCATCATCCCTGCAACCTGACCCTACCACAGATCCCAAGGCCGCAGCTCTCCGTGGATTTACCACCCTGCTGTGCATGGCACAAGGAAACCTGTTTGCCACCACCAGGCTGAGAAGAAAACACAACATGGGATTAACTGAGCTTTGTACCCCAAAAAGTCAAGGACCCCACCGTGCCATTTATTAGGGGTGGTGAGAAGCACTCTGAGCTCCCAAGCAGCTCCCACACTCAAGGAAAGGCTGTGCCTGCCTGCACGTGCCCCTGGTCCGGACACCCACCAACCAAGTCCCACCCCCGCCAGCGCTTCTCCTCTCTTCCTAGGACAGCATGGCTGGAAACAATGACACGGTCCCTGGTGCCGCTAACATTCAGGAATCCCTTAAAAATATTGATATTCAATCTGGTAACTGCCCAAGGCCAGAGCTGGTTTACTTGATAAGCTATTTTTCCTCCCTGCTTTAAGTGCCTTGCTTCACAGATTAGCTGTTTAATTGAGAGCCAGGTGTCTGAAAACCCCAGGGGCCTCAGTCTTAGTGATGCACTGTCAAAGAAGAAGGCAAAGAAAAACCACCGAGCCCCACCACTCTCTCCTGCAGAAAGTGCTCTTTATTTCAGCGTGACGGCAACACGTAGCCAGGCTGTTATTCTCTTCTTATCACACTTGTTCACAAAAGGGGAGATGTGGTTTTTCATCCTGTCCCCATCTCTGTCCAGTAACAAGTTTTCCCAACTTGGTGGCTTTCCATTGGGAGCCAGATGACAAATGAAGATGTCCTGCAGGGACCTCTGGCATGGGTCGAAGGGCCAAATCCGCTCCCTGCCAGGTTTGGGGAAAATTCAGCATTTGGGGTGCCAAAAAAAGCACCAGCAAACCTGTGTCTTGCCAGCACACGATGGATGTTACAGCCTGTGGTGCACCCACTATGCTTCAGTGAGAACTGGGTGGTCCCCAGCACCGACGACAAGGCTGGTGCACCCCTGCTCACACGCTGGAGGAAGCCTGAATGATGCAGTTGGTTCAGGCCTTCTTTAACCATCTTGTGTACTCTTGCACCACCTCAATTCTGCACCACCTCACTGCTTTTTGGAGGTTGCCCAAACCTTTGATGTCTGGACACCTTTCTTGCCACTTGCAAGTGGCAAGATTTTTAGGGAGGAACAGGGCAGTTAACATGCCCTAGCACAAACAAATTGGCATGGCTGTCACACGGCGAGCATCCCGCTTCAGGTAGAGATCAACCCAGACACTCGGCTCTGAGGGATTTCTGACTAAAACAGTCCTTCTTTTAGCTGAAAAAAACAGTTTTAAAAAGAAACACAGCCAGCTACAAGACAGAGGGACTCCACTGATTGCACCGCCACAGCACCATCGATAGCACAGAAACGTACATGCATTTAAAAGCAAAGTCCCTACTACCCCCGGTGCCAATCATTCCTCCCCCGAGAGTTGCGAATAATTTGCTAGTGAGTCCCCAAACACCAGAGCCAAGCTCCAAAGCATTAGTGTAATAACCAACACAAACCCTGCAATCTTTTTAATAACTTCTGAGTCCCCAACAAGTTCTGCACAGAAACCCAGAGGGGCTCAGCCCTCCTCCCGGAGAGCGGAAAGACCCTGTTCACTGTTGTGTGGTTCAATAAATAGAATAAACTGGAAGGAAACCAGTCCTTGGGTTTTCTGGGGAAAACAGCTTCGAGTATCCCAAAAGTGATTGTTAAGGGACCAGAAAGTTATTAAAAAAAGGAGGTAGACAAAGATGTCACAATTATTAGACTGGTTCTGCAGGACCAGGGCTGTCTTTTGAGGAAATTTCTGCTATGCTGAGTGAGGTGGAAGGGCTAGAAAGCTGGAGATCAGCTCAGCAGGAGCCAGACTAGCTTGTTGTGAAGCTGTGGGGTCCCTTTGCAAATCTGTTTCCCCCTGTAAAATGCAACTGAGCACAGCCTGGTAAGACAGGATGCTTTTGCTGCGGGTGAAGTGGGTCCTTGGGTCTCTCCAGTGCTATTTTGGGCTGTCCCATCTCCCATCAGACAAGGGGCTCCTTGTACAGGGTATGTGAGTTTTTCCAAACACTTCCCGGGGCTCCACCTTGCAGACCAGTCAGCCCAGACCCGTCCAGACTCAGGCTTCATCAGTTGCAATCACTGACCTGGCTCCTGGTCCTGTTGTGGTTTAACCCCAGCCAGCAACTAAGCACCACACAGCTGCTTGCTCACTCCCCCCTGGTGGGATGGGGGAGAGAATCAGAAGGGTAAAAGTGAGAAAATTCAGGGGTTGAGATAAAGACAGGTTAATAGGTAAAGCAGAAGCCATGCATGCAAGCAAAGCAAAATGATGAATTCATTCACCACTTCCCATCGGCAGGCAGGTGCTCAGCCATCCCCAGGAAAGCAGGGCTCCATCACACGTAACGGTTACTTGGGGAGACAGACATCATCACTGCGAATGTCCTCCCCTTCCTTCTTCTTCCCCCAGCTTTATATGCTGAGCATGACGCCATATGGTGTGGGATAGCCCTGTGGTCAGCTGGGGTCAGCTGTCCCGGCTGTGCCCCCTCCCAACTCCTTGTGCACCCCCAGCCTGCTCGCTGGTGGGGTGGGGTGAGAGGCAGAAAAGGCAATTACTGCCATTGCAAGCATGCTGGAAACTCCTGGGGAGCTCGGGGTCACAGCCATATTTATAACCTGACCTCATTGCCTGCTCTCCACCGAGCACTCAGGTCTCAATTTACGGGGTGGGTGAAGGGGGGGGTACCTGCTGCCCACCTCTTGTCTCCGTCACCCCTGTTTAGATGGAGGCTGCACCCATCCTGCGCACTTGGACTGTACAGAGGAAAAAGCAAAGCTACTGAGTGGGAGGGAGAGAAAACATCAGCCAAGTCTGGTTCATTAAAGCACATTTGCTGCAGGACGTAAGCAAATAATCCAGACTGACACCATTAGCTTGTGGCAGATGCCGAGTTCTGCATTTTGCAGGGCTCTGGCAGGAGGGGCTGACTCTGTCCCCTTGATCCATCTTACTTTACGCCATGTCTGACGCACTGTGAATTTTTACATTGGTGCATCCTCTCCCAGAGCGTTTCTGGGCTCGGCGCAGCTGCAGCACACCATCACCACTACACATTGGCTTATGTCACCTATTGCTGAAGCACTGGGACCCATCTGCAGCCCCCCCGGCTGGTGCCGCTGTGCTGGATGACTGCACGTGAGGCAGAATTCTGGGCTCGGCGTAGCTGCAGCACACCATCACCACTACACATTGGCTTATGTCACCTATTGCTGAAGCACTGGGACCCATCTGCAGCCCCCCCGGCTGGTGCCGCTGTGCTGGATGACTGCACGTGAGGCAGAATTAGTTTCCTGAACCTCTCTGGTTTGGAGTGCTACCTCCACAAATTTGGGGTTCACTCCTGTTTGATGCAGGGTGCTGCTGCCCAGATGAGTGGATGCTGAGCGCACAGCAGCATGAACAGAATTAGCTCCCTCATAATCTCCTTCAACTATTTGTCTTGCTATGCAAATAGTCTCCTTTTTTAATTTTTAATTAAAACAACAAGTCATTTTCAACTGGAGAAATCCTGCCAATCCTTTGAAAACCTGGCTCTGATTTAAATTTCAGTGCAACTGGTAAATCCTTCATAAAGGAGCAATAAATAATCAATAGCTGTTTTAATAAGTATTTAATCAGTTGTTAAAGCTACAATGGTTACAAAGTTTATCAGATCAGCATATAGTTTATAGCTGTGGCTCGTAACCATGTGTCCTATATATCATTCATGCCTATAGAAAGCTTAAAAATCTATTCATTAGAGTTTTAAATCCTTCCTAATAAGTGTGATAAAGGGATGACCTATGGCTGGAAACTCCGAGATCCATCCAAGCAGCTCCTGCTGCAGCACTGCTCCTCACCCTGCCCATCTCCACAAAGGTGGGGCTCCCCCCAAACGCTGCACAGCTCATTGCACACACGTGTGTGGCCATGGCTCACGGGGCTCCCTGCGGGGCAGGACACGGCTCCCAGAAGGCAGATTCAGGAGGTAAGTACATATACATGCTCCTCACCACAGGGTCACGATGCTCTGCCTTCACACCAAGGCAGTGTTTTCTCCCATCTGCTTGATAAAGCCAAAGTCTCTCCTTGTGTCAAGACAGACAAAAGCTGTCCCACCAGCAGTGCAATGTGACAACAAGGAGCATCCAAAGTGCGCCTGACCCTCAGTCCTGCCCCTCGGTTGAGAGCTGAATTCCTTTGAAAACAAGGATTTCTGTCATGCACTGGTCAGGACTTTCAGGCAGGTATCAACATCGGCAGGTTAAATTTGGGTTTCCACTCCCATGCTAACAACATGGC